TATACCAGTGCAGTCCCACTCCTTCTGCCATGTATCATTGGCTGTGTGTTGTAAGTGATGTTTCAGGGAGATTTCAGGTAACTTCTTGTAGGTGAGTTTTGAAGATTATGTGCAGGCTGACTTGGCCAACTTGTCAGCCAATTCATTACCTTTGTGGGCCTTGTGAGCTGGGATCTAACTAAACTGGAAGTTACAGTTTCTTCCCAGGTTTTGAGCAGCCTTTATCACTTCAGCAGCTAGAACAGATGAGTTGTTTTGATAGTTTAAAATCTTAAGGACCACTTTACTGTCCGTAAAGATGTTAATGTTACCCTTATAATATGTATGGTGATTGTCTATGTGTTGGATTGCCTTTCAAATGACCCATAACTCGGCCTGAACGATAGTTTAGTGGGCCGCCAACTTAAGGTGTAGCTGGTATGTCTTGTGACTGTTCTTATAGAGGATGACAATACCAGACCCTGTCCCATGTTTGTTCTTTGAGTCATCGGTATATACATACCAGTTAGTGCAATTGTGCATGGTTTTATCAAAGTTTATGTTTACTTCGTAATTGTTTATGTTACTTGGATGCTGTTGGAATTTGTTCTTTGCAAGGATTCTGTCCAGTTTAGAGTCTTTGATTTGATTTATAAGATTCAGGAAGCCTTCTGGAAGACCACTGTTAGCAATATAATGCTGTATTTTATTGTCTGTCCAGTTATTAAAGTCAGTCTTAGTGAGTGACCAGTACCAAGCCATGTAGTTTCCTTGGATGTGTATGGGAGTTATTCTGGCCATGATGAGGAGGGCATTAGTGGATGCCGTCCTATAGGATTTACATATTTTAATTGCAAAGCTCCTCTGTAAGGAGAGGAGTTTACATTGTACATGGGTGTTTTTTAGTGCCTCATACCAAACAGATATAGCATAGAGAATAGCCGGTTCAATTGCTGCCTTGTAGATAAGGCAGCCGTTGGTTGTGTTTATTTCCCAGTAATTTCTGGTAATCCATGTAAGTAGGTTGCTTTTTTGCTTGATCCTCTGTTAGAGAGTATTAACATGATGATGCTAATTGAGCCATTCATCGAAGTAAATCCCCAGATACTTCAGTTCACAAGCCACTTCGATTCTATTATTATCGATGAATATGCTACAAACATATTTTAATCAGCCTTGTTTATTTTTCCATGTGAGTACAAGTGCCGCATATTTCTTGAAGTTGATGGGGAGCTTATGTGTCTTGCTCCATTTGGTGCATCATTGCCCAGGGCACATGTTGACAGACTCTCTACACTATATTTGTTGAGATTTGGTGATATCTTCCATTAATCAGTTTTTAATAAATTTAATAATTTAATAAATTCAAAAGATTTCTCTTAGAATCATAGTGAACACATATTGGATTTATTGGAAATATACATGAGAAGTAATTATGTATTAAAAAGGTACCATAAAATATATCTGATCATATCAACATCCTGAAGACCAATGCATTGATACTAATCCAATCTCAAATAATTAATCTGACTATTATTAATTATTTGTCTGTTGTATATGCAGTCTGCTTAACATCAAACTACATATACAGTAAAACAGATATCTCATAAGAGATGATCAGAGCTAAAAAATTCGTAGTTGCCTATAGCTTTTTTATATTTAGATATGTTTAGATGTGTTAATATAAACCATTGTGTTGTATATGGCCTACATGAGTAATAGACTATACCATTGTTTCCCAACCCATGTGCCATGACACACACAGAAGTAATAAATATTTTTTAGAATTCTGAATAAGCTTTTTTAAAATTTCATTTATCTTTCATCATTTTATCACTGACCAACTGAAGGGAGGAGGTATTCACTAAAATGCTGATTGTTGCCAAGTTTGTGGCAACAGCATATCTTTGCAAAAAAATTGTGTGAATACCAACATACCAACTTTTTAGAGCTTGTAAATAAGAAATTACACCTGAATAGCTTCTGTAAACACTGAGGCTTACCAGTTTAAAGACCAATACTGGCTCTTGTGTGCATTGATACTGTTGAGACTTAGAAATTCATATGATGACAGCACATAATTACAGGCAGGAGACACACCAAATTGTATGTGTGATCTTGTTCTCTTTCTGCCAAGAATGGTATTATGTAGGATTGAAGTTTTTGTTATGTAATTTAAATAATGCAATTGGTTTTTATCTTTATGTAATTCATTATAAAGTGTATTATGAAAACTAGATGCCTGAATAATTCATTTAACAGATTCAAATAGTCCTTTTATTTTCATAGTATATTTGTAAAATTGTCAGTTTTTGTCTTGGTAATTTAACTTTCATGTTATCAAACTTTAAAATCAGCCATAATTTATTTTAAAAATTAAGGTGTGTTGCAGGAATTTTATTAAATTCAAAATATGTTGCTAATCCAAAAATATTCAGAAACACGTGGACTATACCACAGGTTTGTCTAAATACACTATCTTATATTTTCTTAACAATGTGTTTCTCAGAACATATACCCATTGTTAAGTGGTGCAAACTTGTATAAAGAAATTTTTTAAGTTAAATATGACTCAATTTAATTTTAAGCATTTAAAAAAAGATTAATATAATATATTTAGTAAGATTTTTATAAGACAAAAAAAAATAAAAAAAAAAAGGTTTTTATTGTGTAGTCTTAATTTTTGGTTAATTAATTTAATATGTTTCATTTTTTTTGAGATGCAATAATATATTTTAAATGTAAATTTTAGGTATCTGGTAGTTATTGTTCACATTTGACAACACACTGGAGGGGAGTAAATAAAAATTATTTGTTTCAACAATCACCTGCAGTCCAGTCTCTACATTGTAAATTTCATAAATCTAATAGTGAGTCAAATTTTTGTTTTCTAACCGAAATCATTTTATATGAGTATATAATATAATGTAAATTAAAATAATAATTGACAAGACTATGTCTTGTTTATAAAATCGTACTGCCACTCGTTCTTATCAGCATAGAGGTATGAAGGAGTACATGTTGAGAGTTGATATTTGGCACAGAGTATTAGGTGCCCAAATCATTTGCGCATAAAAAAAACCCAGACTCATAGGTAGTCAGGGGACCGAGAATTGAGTCAAAATAAAATACAAAATGGCAACCCTCTTCTACAAACAGAACAGCCAGCTCATCCCACCAAAGTCAGGTAGGGGAGAGTACCACCCACAGTCATTCTAAGAAGTGAACTCTGACCTTAGGACTGAACATGTAGTTTCTTCTATATTAAATAAAATTTGTAATTAATTTTGTAAATTTGGGAGTGCTTCAAATATGACGTTAAAACGGTTTTATGTCATTACAAGTGGTTTTTTTTAACATTATCTAGTATAGTAAAATCGTAGGACCAATAAAGATTTGACGTTATATTAGGGTTGTCGTTATATTCGATGACATTATAATCGGGTTAAACTGTATATTGTTTGTGCAAAATAAAAAATAATTTCAGACGATACAATAGCCACGATTATTTTTTTAAAAAATGGGAACTTTTCGTTACGCATCAACAAAAATTCAACCTGGGCTGACATGCAACAAAGAGAAATTTGAAATTAGATAAGTAATTTCATTGAAGATGCATCGTGGATGATCTCGTGGTCGTGGCCGGCAAAGTTTGAATGTTTGCACCCAAAAGCAGCGATATGAAAGAAGATAGGAGAANTTTGACAAAATTAGCATAATTATAGCTCAATAAAATCTGACAGAATTTGGTTTGTTTTAGTTAGAATTTTTAGTTTTTCTCGATTTAAGTTTTTACCATTGCAGACACCATTGAATCATTTAAGATTATGTATAATTCAATGTGTATAATAGTTAATGGATACTTTGAATTTTTATTTTATTTCTGTGTTATGTCAATAAACAAATAGAGTCAAAAATAAACTAAACATTTCAATTTTCATGCCTCATATAGTTTCACTGGATGTGTGCCTTGTTTCTAATTCAGGAGTTGTTCAAGGTTGTATGTATACATCATTTGGTTTTCCCTTTGGCATTACATGTAGAATGATAGTGTTTGATTTTAACATTTCTATCATAGAAGAATGATGGATCAAAAATGACACTTTTGGGGCAGTGGACAAACATCAAATTTGTGTTTAACTGCTAAAAACATTTACTGAAACCCTTAGCATGTTAAAAAAAGCCTGTGATGAAGAAACACTGCATTGAACAGAGGTTTTTTGATAGCTTAAACACTTCAAAGATGTCTGACAGTCTGTTGAGAATGATCCTCATCTGGGAGCACTCCACTGCAACAAATAAAGAAAAATGATTAGCAGAATATTAGAACAAATCAGAAAGAATTGTAGACAAATGGTATATGATCTGGTTTGACTTTTTGGACTTTCTCATGGTTCTGTACATTCCATACTCATTAATAATTTGAACATGAATTATGTCTGCCAGCACATTTTCCTTGAAGATCTGATGGAGAAGCAATGCAAAATTGGACCCTGATAAATGGAAAGTTGATCAGCATTATCAATCATCCTCAACTATTGAACAGAGTGATTACTAGTGATGAATCTTGGTGTTTATGGGAATCAGTGTTATTTTTACAATCCCCAAGAACACAGATCTTCCACATGGACATTACCAATGTTCCCTCACTAGAAGAAATTTAGGCGGGACAAATCGAGGGAAGGTGATGCTAATTGTGTATTGTGATATCCAAGATTTGGTGCTTCACAAATTCATTCAAGTAGTGTCTAATGTAAATAAGGAAATGTATGTGAAAATTGTGAAACAACCGTGTGATTCTGTATGCCAAAAATGGATAGTGCTGTTGAATGGAAAGAACTGATTCTGCATCATGGTAATGCTCCTATGCATCAGTTGTTCTTGGTCATGGTAATACCTGACAAAAACAGGCATATCAGTCTTCCATTTTAGTTACCTATCTTACTCCTGCTAAACTGTTTCCTAAAATGAAGGAGAAATTGAAAGGTTGAAGATTCAGTCTGTATTCAGTGACATGAGCTCTTCACTTTGCAAGAATGATTTCCAGGATTGTTATTGGAAATGGTGTGGACATTGGCAAATCTGTGTAGCTGTGGAAGAAACTTACTTTAAAGATGTGGTGTAATGGCTTCATTGCATTAAGTAATAAAAATTATGCAAAATGTTTGGTTATTTTTGACTCTACAGGTACCTTATATAACAATACCACTAAAATAGTTTTATAATATTGAGTATTGAAATTTTAACAAATATTTTATGATTATATTGTATTATCTGATGCTTATAATTGATATTAGAAAGTCTAAATAAATAATTATTTCATTTTAGGTTTGTTAAAGTTGGAGATAAAGTGAATCAATTTGATAATATTTGTGAAGTACAAAGTGATAAAGCTTCTGTCACCATTACTAGCAGATATGATGGAGTAATTGTTAAAATTTATTATGAAGTAGATGAGATTGCTAGAGTTGGACAACCTTTAGTTGATATTGAATTATCTGAAGAACCATCAGGTATATAATATAATATTGAAATAAAAATTTTAAAGGCCTCTAACATAACTAATTTATTGGAAAAAATTGATTATCTAAATTATTTATTTATTTATCTGTAGTTAAATTACAATATTTCAAAAGTGCTTTATTAGTAAAAAAATTTATACAAATATTTCCAAACAATCTGCTCCAAATTATTTATGAAAATACTTTATATTTGCTTTTTGTATATTAAACTGAGAATTTTATATCAGACTGAATGAACTCAAACAATACATAGATTATAAATGTAATAAATTGACTATTGCACATAAGTACTAATTAAGAATTAAAATGATAAATATAATATTCATACAAGTCATATAAGTATAAAATTTGAAATTTATTTTCATTAAGAATAATACATTAATTTTCTTTCTTATTACCTTAGTTATATCAATTGCAAACACTGTGGAACAAGTTGATGAAGTTCAAGATCAAGATGTAACTACTATTTCAGAACATTTTGATTTGCCGGCTAAGTTAACTTCTTCAGATAAAATTCTAACAACTCCTGCTGTCCGTCGTTTGGCAATGGAAAATAAAGTAAATAATTTTATCTGAATTTAAAATTTTTAAATATTTATATATTCTTATGCTATCTTTTTAATTCAAGATAAAATTAAGTGAAGTAAAAGGAAGTGGTAAAGATGGAAGAATATTAAAAGAAGATGTTTTAAAATATATTGAATCATTAAAAGAAACACCTTCAGGTAAATAATGCTGTTGATTATTTTTTTAAATAAATCACAGTTTAATATGCTGGAACAATGCTAGCTTTTGATATATAAGTTGACTTATAGAAGAAAGAGAGACTATATTTTAGTAAAGCACAATTACAAATATTGGGAAAAAAATATTTTTATAATACTAAAAATATTAATATTTTATCTTTCTAATAATTTATTTTTAAAATATTAACATTACATAATATAATTTTGCATAGCAATATACTACTCTGTCCCAAAAGTAAGTGTACTGATTTTTCATTTCAAAATATACATGAGTTACATCAAACTACAAATGATGTCCTTCAAAGTACAACCCTTGTGAGGTCACACATTGGCTCCAAAGTTTTTCCCACTGGTTGTAGCAGTACTTGAAGTCATTTTCCATAATGGTGTTTAGTTCATTGGTTACAACTTTTTTAGTGTTTTCCACTGTCCTGAAATGATGACCTTTCAACTTAGATTTTATCTTAGGGTATAGGTAGAAGTCGTATGGAGCTAGGTCTGGGCTGTAGAAAGGTTATGGGAGTGTGGGGATTTTTTTCATGGCTATAAACTCTCAAATTGATAGTGCTGTGTGAGCAGGTGCATTATCGTGGTGCAGCATCCAATCTTCTGCAATGTCCCTGCAGACTTGCTTGACCTGTTTTCGAAGTCATTTCAAGACATCTTTGTAGAAGGCCTGATTAACTGCCTGTCCTGAAGGTAAAAATTCTTTGTGCACAATTTCACAGATTTTGAAAAAATGATAAACATCGTCTTTACCCAGGATCTTTGTGTCATCTAAATACCATGTTTCTTGATAAAGTGGCATCTCCATAAGCTTCAGTTAAATCTGTAAATGTCTTGGTTGCAGATTTCTTTTAACACAAAACTTTGATAGCGTAATGTTGCTAGAGATTTTTCTCCATTTCAAATGTAACAATGTGTTAAAACACTATCTTACACAAACAGAGATTGTGAATGTTTGACTTAACCGATCTACTTGAAACAGGTCTATATATGCTGCTAAGATATCTAGCAACATGAAAATACCAATTAATGATGTGTTAAGCTGCACAGTCATTAAATAAAAAATCAGTACACTTACTTTTGGGACAGACCATGTATTACTACTTAGTTTTACACCAGTCATTAATACTGCATTTGACTCAAACATAGGCTGCCCATGAATGTAAAACGACATACAATTTTAAAAATTTTTCTGAAATAATTTGGTTCTGAATATAAATTACCTTTTATTAATAATCTTATTTGCATATAAAAAAATTAGTAATTTTACTTAAAAAAAAAACAAATTTGAAAAGTCGTTGAAACAATATTTTACCACTCATCATCTTCATTCTCTTTGTCATCATTCCTGTTTCCTATTTAGTTACCATTATGGTCTTTTGCCATTTTGAACATCGTCTGTTCTGTTCAAGTTCTTGGTAACAACATTTCTTGAAACCATTTACAATTGTGTCTTTGGCAACACTTCTTTAGGCTATTGATAGCTTCATGATAGCTATTGGATGATCAAAGGTTTCTGTATTTTTTTGGTGCTTATGTTCTTCTAGAAGCCATGCTACATATTATATATGCACTTTGTCTTTAAAGAGCTTATCTTATTAAATTAATAAATTTTTTCCTAAGATTCTTTAGTAATGATTTATGTCAGTGTGTTATCATATTTTACATAGTATTTTATATAAAAATTTTTTTGTAGTTTTTCAAGAATTTCTTTAATTAAAACTTATTTTGCTTATTATGAATTTTTTTTTATTATTATTTTTTTTATGTTATGAATAAAAAATTCATAACAAAAATAAAAAAGGTTTAAAAAATTTAGAAAATGGCATTAATTAATGACAAACACAAAAATACCAGATTATGAAAAAAACTTATTGAAAATGTCAAAGTTTGTCTAATACAGTAGAGCATTGTTTATCTGAGTCAATTGGGGACTGAGGTTGTTCAGATAACTGATTATTTACAAAAAAATATATTAACTGATTATGTACGAAAAAATATCCCATGTTGAAATGTTTTCCAGTGCGTGTCACTTTGCATTGAATTTTTGTTGATGTTAAGCCTAAAATAAACTTTTAAAAATAATAACCATGGCTATTGTATCATAAAAATTATTTCTTTATTTTTTATGAACAAAATAAATATATTGAAAGATATAAAAACAAAAAAAATATACTTTAGAAGTTGATCTAGTATCAAAAACATTCAATTCAGCAGGACACACAGTCCTCAGAAAAACATCACATAAAAATGCCAGTGCTGCCAGCTAAAACACACACACCAACAAATAAAAAATATTGGAGTAGCCCAAGATATAGCCAAAGATTGCAGCGCCACAGCACTAGCAAAAATTTAAATTTGCCGACTAGAATGCTTTTGGTTAACCAATGTTTCAGTTGATCAGTATTTGGATAATCAATGCTCTACTGTATAAGTTTTTTATTCTTACAAAATCATATAAAGCTGAACATTTCATNGAAAAATAAAAACATTATTAAATTTGCTAACGTTGCGAAAGGGATTAAATCAATTTCTAAACAGAGATTTAAGACATTAGATCATGTCGAGAAATTGCTTTTGCTTTGGATAACTGAAAAACGGTGTGCTGGCGACAGCATATCGGAAGAAATTACTTGCGAGAAAGTTAAAAGGATACATGCTGATCTCATGAAAAATCAAGCAGAAACTAGCGAGGAAAGCGAGGTGTTTAAAGCCAGCCATTTTTTTACATGAGAACGGATTAATCATTTTTACATTACTTCTTATGAAAAAGGTTGGTTTGGTATACGTCCTATTCGGTATAAGTCCAAACACCAGGAATGGATTAAGGTCATATACCGAGGTTCCACTGTACTGTATTGCAGAGTAAATGATATTGTAAAGTACTATATTATTTTTCCGCCTTTTCCAACGATTATTGACACGACTGTGTGCCGGAATTAGCTGTTACCTAACGGGTACTTTACGTGGATTTGCGTTGATGTGCCAGGCCTGGACTTTAAGCGTGCACCAAATTAAGTTAGTTAAAAACAATCCAATATTTAATAAAATTCTAGTAATAACTATATACAAAATTTAGTAAAAATCAATTAACAATTTATTCAACGTAAATCAATAAGAATCAACCCGACAAAACAAACTCAAATCAATCTATTTTCTAACTTAACTCTATTCCCCTTTGGAATTCGACAAAAAATTCAAAGACTTAACTTATGTACAATAATTCTTATGAATTAAAGGTCCTAATCGTCACCTCAATATACTAGGAACCTTTTTCCTCAACTGTCAAGACTTTCTTTAATCTTCGATCCACAAATCGAATAACTTCAAAATTGCCTTGAAACTACTTTATCCTCTCGGACACCTCTCTCATTTGCTGCTATGAAGCTCNGACAAAAAATTCAAAGACTTAACTTATGTACAATAATTCTTATGAATTAAAGGTCCTAATCGTCACCTCAATATACTAGGAACCTTTTTCCTCAACTGTCAAGACTTTCTTTAATCTTCGATCCACAAATCGAATAACTTCAAAATTGCCTTGAAACTACTTTATCCTCTCGGACACCTCTCTCATTTGCTGCTATGAAGCTCACTACGCTCGTTGCTAACAGAAGCTCACCTTACTCATCTTCACTTGAGGTTCGGTCTTTATACTGTGATGTGATGTCACAATTCTGAGTGAGATCACTCCCCTCATTTACATACTTATTGCTAACAATAAACTTTTCCTGTTTGCCTGGCAGCCTATTTTCCGACAATACTCGCTAACCTTTTACATTATTCATTTTGACAATTTTTGGGATGTTTTATTCTTTAAGGTTTAGCAAGTTCCTAAGTTGTGCTTGTGGGGTCTCCCCCCCCTTTTCTCGGTGCGGACTTACTTTTTTCCACTCAGGAGCGCAAGTGTCCGCGAGTTTTATCTATGGAGCTTTTCTCTCATCGGTGAGTTGGTTTCTCTTCTATTTTTAAGTTTCTAAGGTGAATGGTGAGGAAACCTTTGTCTTAACAAAACATAAGCCCCAAACAAAAATAGAATAAAAGCAAAAATAAAAGTAACTAAAAATAACGCTTGGACTTGGTTCCTTACACCCGGTTCCTTACAATATATAGTTAGGTAGCAGGTTCATATTGATGGGGATGCATAGGATGCAGATCAACCCCTTTCTTGGGATTTTACCAAATAGAGCCAGTTATCTCAAGTAGTAAAAAATTTTGTAAGACATATTGTTTCTTTTCTGCACCCCTCTCTAAAGCTGTTATTGTTAGTTAGTGTATGTATTCTTCAATCCAAAACAGATTTAGTCAAGATGTATATCTTGACTAAATCTAGTTTGACTAAATCATATAGAGATAATTATAATATAAAAGTACTTGAGTGATTTAGTGATTACTTGAATCATTAAGACAATTATAAGATTCAGTTCAGAACTTAACACAAATAAGATGTAAAATGATCAATAAGCAGTACATGAAGTATATTGCTGTCAGGAAAATTAGAAATTCTTCAGTAAATGAAATATCTTTATTTATATTTTTACATTACTCATTTGTTTTCCTACTAACAGAAATAATTTTTTTTTACATGAAAATGTAAAATTTTGCTCTTGATGTTTTTAGATATTTTATTCAATTTGATGACAAATTTTGAAATTTTTGGGTATTTTCTGTATCATTATACATTTCTTTTATTAAGTTTAAAGAAATTCTAACTTACCTTAACTATTTACTAAGATACTGTATATCCATGAAAAATAATGTACAGTATACTGTATAATATATTTTTTGAACATTTTATATTTACATTCTTTATATTACAATTATATAGCATATTTTAATGATTTATTTACTTATATTTAATATATTTTTTGTTTATATTTATAGCACGATCAGTTCTAGAAACACCAAAAGTTCATCCAATTGTACAAAAGTCTGTACCTGTAATTTCCCCCTCATCTAAAATTGAGAAACAAGACAGAATAGAACCAATTAAAGGTTTTAAGAAAGCAATGGTAAAAACTATGAGTCATGCATTACAAATACCTCATTTTGGATACTGTGATGAAATTAATGTCACTAACTTGGTTAATGTAAGAAATTCTATAAAGAAATCACTTGAAAAGCAAGGAGTAAAATTTTCTTATATGCCATTTTTTATTAAAGTGAGTATTTATTAAAATGTTTACATTTAAATATATAAATATGAAATATTTTAAATGAAAATAAATAAACTTTTTTAAATAAAATATTTTTGTAATTGTCTTTGTTTTTCAAGTATATTTGTTAATTTTTGAGGATGGATGTCAACTATCCATTGGGACTTTTCCATTTATTTGTAAAAAATAAATAAATAAATTTTATGTTTTTTAAAATAAAATATTAAAATAATTTATTTAAAAGGTAACATCATTGGCATTACAACAGTTTCCAATTTTAAATGCATCAATTGACGAAAAATGTGAAAATATTATATATAAGGTAAGATATTTTAAATTTTTTTGCATTCTGTTTTGTTACTCTTAATGTTAATTAGCATTTTGTTGTAGGCTTCTCATAACATAGGTGTAGCAATGGATACAAATCAAGGATTAATTGTGCCTAATGTAAAAAATGTACAAAATTTAAATCTCTTGCAAGTTGCTTCTGAAGTAAATCGTCTTCAAGAACTTGGCTTGAAAGGACAATTAGGAACCTCTGATCTTGGTGGTGGAACATTTACATTGTCAAACATAGGAACTGTGAGTTTGCTCTTTAAACATAATTATATGTTTATTTCATTTATCCAATTAACATTTCTTTTAATAATTAATTATTGAGCATAAAATTGAACAGTTAAAATTAATTTAATGAACTGTAATCAGTGATTTAAACGTATATTATATTTATTTCTTAGTATATTATTGAAAAGGAAACTCTTTGCCAGACTATTTATTTATTTTGAAGAAATGCTTCTTTAATGGGATGTGTGCATAGTGGTGGTTTACTTATTTTATTGTAATGAAATGATTTGTATATTTGTAAGGATAACTGAGAAATAACTACAATAAGCCAGTGACAAAAGAAAGAAAAACTTTCTTCTTCCACTNTAATATTTAAAATTTCTTATTATTTCTTTCATGTATCTTTTGCTTCCTTCATTAAATTCCTTCATCAAATAAATTACTGACAACAGAAGTATTTCAAATGTACTAAACTTCTATAATTATGTAGTGCAATATAACATATGTGGAGCATTCAAAAAGTTCCCTGAAACTGGTTATTATTTGTAAACAGAATTCTATATTTATAATCAATTGATGCAAACATAAACTTATTGAGACTTCTTTATCAAGTCTAGAATCAAAGAGCACTGATATTTTTACTGAAAGCATTTAGAAGGGTGGCAACACTATACAGAAAAATGTTTTAACTTAAATGTAACACACGTTGAAAAATAAGGTGCTAAATTCAGCTTTTTTGCTGAATTTAGCACAAAAGACAAATTTTGCTGTCTTTTTATTTACATTTTCTGGGAACTTTTTGAACCCCTTGTACATTTTTTCATAAATATTTTTCTTTATTTACAAATACCTGCTTTCCTTTGTCAATTCCCTTTATTATTAGTTATTGGATTACACAAGTTAATTCAAACATAGAATTTTACATGGAATTTGTATTAGAAAATTGCACAATTAATACAAAAAAGTTTAGTATTTTTTCAAGATCTTTTTCTGCATGGCTGAAAGAAAATTAAATATTAATTAAATTTTTAAATGTTTCATATAATAAAAACATTTATCTACATGTATGTAATTAAATTTATAGTTAGGTGGAACATACACAAAACCTGTCATTTTACCACCAGAAGTAGCTATAGGAGCCATTGGAAAAATTCAAGTAAGCAGTTTTTAATTTTAAAAACATTATGAGATGTTTGTATTCAGCTAAAAATAACATATTGATTAATCTTTTTTATTTTATGAAAGATATATATACATTGGATTATTCAAAAAGTAAAGGCAATATATTCAATAACTTTTTAAGACTGTTTTATTTTCTACTGTAGATTATGTTTTAGCATTTTATCCTGTTGAATGAAGGTCTTTTTATTTAGAAAAATTTATATCATTATGTGCTAAATGCTATTTTTTCAGTTTTAATGCTTTCTGTTTATTTTTTTATCTTCAAAAGCAATATAATACTGTAATGGGCATAGACATATGCTATATAACAATAATTCATAAGATATTTGTGTTTAACTAGAACTCATTCCTTTATTTCCCAAAAATTGAAAATGAATCTATCTCTGTGGAGCTCATATTCAGGGAATTTCATTCTGTTCAATTAGGGATTATCATCATAATCTAAAATTTAATATTAATTCACTTTACTTTGTTATAAATTAAATGAAAAAAATAAAAATAAAGTGTATTTTAAACAAAGAATGCAGTCTCTCGGTATGAATTGTGATGGTTTAAATGTGATTGACTATCTGCATATGCTCATAAATTCTGTATTAATAAAATATCATAATTAAATTGCCCTTCTATAAGAACTGTCTGGATGTATTACTGGAACACTCAAATTTCTACATATCAACAGTAATGATGAGTTTTTGACATATACTGGCACCTTATGAAAGTTAGTTGTTGTTAATCATTATTGCTTATTTGAACTAAAACGTTTTAATCCAAGCCTAAAACATTTTTCAAGTAAAAATAATCTTGAAGATTCTCATTAGATGGCTGATAGACCTGTAATGGTCTTTGGAAGTAAGCACAGAGTTACTATGGAGAACTTATTATATAGGAACACAGTTGATTGGTTATGTAGACTATATTATATAAAAAGGATATACATTTTGGGCTATTCACCCCTGTTATATTCTATTCACCATTATTATACATATCTGATAAAACTGAAATAATGTATATATTGGTAACAGCTGAAATAACAAATTTTTTTAAGAGGTAAAACTAATAAAACTGTAAAACATAAAACTTAAAACTATTAAAATTGGTAAACAGAAAAATTAACAGACAAAAAATATTAAATGAATCATTCTATTCAATTCACATGCAAAATTGAATGGTTGTCAACACTTGCTTTTTATATCCATCTGATACCGAAAACAATGATGAGATATCTTGTTCTTGTTATTCTTGACATAATAAAAAGTAAAGTAATATTGATTAACACATTGGCCAGGATGACATTAATATTTTAAAAAATAGAAGAAACTAAAATGTTTTAAGTCCTTTTACATGCTTTAGGAACAAAACTGCCTTTTTTCTGATGAAGTAAGACCTTTTATTGGAGGCTATTCATCCACTTTAATATGTAAAAAAAAAAAATTAAAGGAATTCNTAGTTATTGGATTACACAAGTTAATTCAAACATAGAATTTTACATGGAATTTGTATTAGAAAATTGCACAATTAATACAAAAAAGTTTAGTATTTTTTCAAGATCTTTTTCTGCATGGCTGAAAGAAAATTAAATATTAATTAAATTTTTAAATGTTTCATATAATAAAAACATTTATCTACTTGAAATTAATTTTGATTATAATTCTAACAGTTAATTCTTTCTGAAAGTAATATAGAATTCAAACTAACATTTTTCAAAATAAAGTTAGTGAAGTCATCATATATATATATATATATAAATTATTAATATTAATTACATTTTATCTTTCAATCAAGATTGATTCATTATAAAAAATAAAATAAAATTCTTTGTAAAGTCTTAAAAAATATTTACTAATTAACAACTACCATTACAAAGAGCATTTGGTTATTGAAATTACATTAACTCTCAGCACTGCAAGGATTAATGTCTATTTTAATTTATAAGAGATGTCAGATTTTATTACAAAATTTATTACGTAATATGCAAATTTTTAAATTAGATTCTTGTTTAATGCATTTTGCATTGTCCAAGGTAAATTGTGACTGACTTGTGAGTAGCTTTGTCAACAATGATAAGAATGTAGCATAATACAATTTGTTTTGCAAATTTTGGCTGGGTAGTATGCAGTATTGTAAAAGAGCTCTAGAAGTTATAAAAAGAATTTACTCCTGTGACTCCTCATAACAACATGCATTTTTGAAAATTAAATAACTTTTAATTATAATCACAGATTTGTTTTTGCTTTAATAAACAATAATGAAATCATTTTATTGTCTAACAATAAAATGTTTTCAATTTTGTTTACAATTTAAAAGTCATTATTTTCAATAAATAGGAGTAATCTATAAATATATTATATTATCTTTGTAAATGCATCCAACTCAATAGTATAATAATTTACTAAGTATTTTGTTTTTGAAGGTACCATCAGTCTACATTACCTTGGATAATTGGGACTCTATTGTATAAGTAATACAAAAGTAAAACTTATTTAATCATTTGTACAAGGTGTTTAGACAATAATTAAATTCATATTTATGATAAAAGTTGTGTACAGTAATAGACTACAAACTGAAAAACAATACTTTATAAGTACATAAGAAAACATGATACATTTAATATTTTACCAATCATGCTGTATATAATTTTTTACGTGAATTAACAGCTATAGTCTACTTTCAAATTCTAGTTATTTTATTTTTGTATTGAGAGTTTGGAATACTGTATCTAATTAAAGCAATTAAAAATTGTACAGATAACTAAAAACATTATAACAAGAAAAAAAAAAAGTTGTATTCATAGCCTATCTTAATCAAACAGGATTCATAAATGAATTACACTGCCACTCAAGGATTAAAAATGTATTGTTTCTTTCACACTTACAAAATTGCAAATTTTTTACTCTAGTTAAAATGATAAGTTAAAAATAATAACTATGTAGAGAATTAATATACTGTGCTAAGTTATATCTGATAGCTATGCACAATATGATAAATTTCATTGCCATTAGTTGTATACTTAACTGTCAGTCAACATTAAAAAATAAATACAAAGTAATCTTTAAATATTTTACTATTTAATGTTAAGCTTGAAGAGTAGATAAATTTTAAATATTACAGATTTGTATTTTCTTTAATAAACAGTTATACAATAAAATGTTTTTAATTTTATTTACAATTTAAAAGTCATTATGTTTAATAAATAAGACTAAATAGTTTATTTAGTCTTATTTATTATTATTAAAATTGCCATATTTAACAAGATGATATATCATCGTGTTATAATACTAATTACTAAAATACTCATTATCTAATAATAAGATTTAATGTTTTGATGATAATGTTTGGAGGCCATCCATTAATTACATGTATAGTTTTAGTTATTTTTGACCCTCCTACTGATCATGTACAGTCAAATTATGTACTTTTTGCATCTCTCTCCCCCTTAAACTGTGAATCCAAGTAATGGATGGCATCACTAATTTTTTTATTGACATATTCCAGTATTGAAAGTTCTTGATAATTCAAGAAAAAACTTTTTAAAACAGTTTTCTGTATTTGCAATGAATATTTTTGGTTCTCTATTGTTTCATTTATTTTCTACAATCCATTCCTTTCAGTTGTAAAATAGAATAAATAATAATTCATAAAGACAGAATCATATTATTATTATTAATTTACATTTAAATTTAAAAAATCTTTGATCCTATGAATATTTAATAATGATTTATAAAAAATTCTCTGAATTATAATTAATAAAAGAAGGTTTTAAACATTCAAATTTTTCTTATTAAATTAATAACTAAATTAATTTAAATATAAAATAATTATTTATTCACATGAATTTATAATTCTAAAGACATCTTTATTGAGAAAAATCACCATCATCTAGATTTATAAATTTTTCAAATAAATCTAAAGATAATTTTATTTCTGAAGAAATATTGGATGCACAAAAATCAAATCTGTTTCATAACAATACGTTAGTTTTTAAGCATTGTTTCATAAATTTTGAAAATAGGATGTATGCTATTTATTGTAATTTACAGCTCAAAGCAGTAATGGACTTCATACTAAATATTTTGCAATAAGTAGTAATCACTGTTGTTGTTAATTTGTCACATGCAACCTTTAAAGCTATTCTGCAGTTTGGGTGTTTTGTGAATAAAGGAATCCATAATGGGCTTGCTAAAAAGCTCTCTTAGTGCCCATAGGACCAAGGTTCTTTAAAAAATGATTGTTTAGTTAGTGACTCATTGATGAGTCAGTTTTACTAGAGAAGTAAACAATTTTTACTGCTCTATGATCAAGTTGAATTTTCTTTTTCCTAATTTTGAAAAACAATAATATTGTTGCCTGAAAAATATAACATGCTGTAATTTTTTTAGTTGCTGTGAGTGATTAAAAAATGCCCACGTCAGCATTAAAATAAATGTGAACTAAAATTTATCATTTTGTGAACTAAAATTGCAATGATGAGTTCTAGGCGTTACGTGTTAAGAAACTATCACTAAATTCCATCATAATGCTTTTACCGATAATGCAATTCCTAGTGAAAATCATGGAAGCTACGCATCACTGCATTTAGTGATGGAATTCAGCTGGTTTGTATAAATGGAATGTATAAAACTGGTACTTAATTCTTTTGTGTACTAGCCAAATATCAATATTTGTATTCTTTTGAAATTTTTCATGATTAAAATAGAGTATTTTTTCACAAAATGATATTTATGTCAGAGTTTGTTACTACCCTGGCAACAATTTAATAGTGGCTTTTCTTGGAAATACCTGTGGTCATCTGGTTATATTATTTTCCCTATTGATCTAGAAAGGTAGTGTGTTTTGAGCCCATTTCCTCACGTGAGAACTTGGTGTGGCATAAGAGTGAACACAGATAAGATGGAAAATGGAGGAGCAATAATGGGCTACCAGGGCAGATGAGAAAGGAATGAAAGAAGAAAGCCCACTCTTCCTTTATAGCGGAGGGATTGTGAGTAGAAAGAATGGACAGTGATGATGAGCTCCCAGATAGTCTGGATATTAAAGTGAGTGTTCTCAGACTTTGTTTTTGGGACTATCACTTTATTTGTGTTGTCTCTGTTTTGTTTGTACATATTAAACAAACAAATATATTAAAGATTACAGGGCACTTCGTATATGGTGTGTTTATTCGTTGCTATTTATTTTTCATCAAATAAACTATATTCAGGAATTGATTCTTGTCTTTGCAATAAATTCTTTACAAAGGATATATGTATTGCAAGAATTTTTTTTACTTTGTAATGTCCTTCAAACCAGAAATTTAGTAAGGACTGAAAAATTAATTAAAAGGGCCATTAAGGCTTTTAAGCTTGTCGAGCACCAGCATATTTGATAACCTCTAGTACACTGGTACTGAATAATAATGCTAATGATTCCTACATGATGATACACATGCTAATGATATGCAATTAGTTTATTCTCATCTTTTTACTGGACGAGTTTAGTTTCAATATTCTTTGACAAAGAATATTGAATTAATTACAGCACAAGGTAGAAAACAAGAAAAAAAGTATGTTGATCAAGCCCGGGCCCACATATCAGAACCTTGAGAATCTCATGGCCTGCGAGCTGCTCAAGTTACTCATGACTGTATTAAATTTTCATAAAATATGGAATAAGGTATAGATTGGTTTGGCTTATTTTGATTACTTCAACACGTAGGTAGTCTGTTGAAGGAGATGCCACCTGGGAGGACTTTCTATGGTAAACTGGCCCCTATTTAGGTGTTACTAACATGAAGAAAGCCCGGAATATTCCACGTGGCCAGCTCATGACCAGTGATAGGCTTTCGCAATAGATTATTATTAGTTTTAATTAACTGACTGATTTAATTTAAGTGGAAAGTTGAAATATCAAACTGTATAACATTGCTAAAAATATAATACGTACTAATTACACTATTGAACAATATATGATTCATATAAATTTTTGTAATTTTGAGGATTGGCAAATGTATTTTATGAAACGTTATCTGAAAGAAATTGTGGGGAAAGTTATTTGTGCATTTCAATAAATTTCTCAATAATCTATTGAGAAAGTTACTGAACACGTAAATATAAGATATTTGCATATTTATAAATATATAATTCTTAGTTATTTAGGCCTACCAGTGGTCGTGCCTCGCCAACATTCCTTTCTCAGGACTATATAGAGTCCTTGGGGCCGGCCATGTGGAGTTTTCCGGATTTTCTTCACGTGTCTAATACCTAAACAAGGGGCTGGTTCTCATGCATTGCATTGCCATACACAAACAACAAACTTAATTATTTAATACAGCAGCATTTTACCTTTTATTTATAGTTTTTGGATTTTTCTTTCATTTAAAAAATTAATTATTGTATTATTTACAGTATTTGTTGTATAATTTTGTATTTTAAATATTCTTAAATAACAATGAGTGGCTGACGATGACGCAAGGCCTCACAGACCATTTAGAAATTCTTAGTGTTTTTTTGTCTGCCCAGATTTGATTCTGGATCCCCAAAAAGGTAGGCTGAGGCCATAACTGTCTTAACCATTCAACCAGACCATACAATAGTTTAAGAGGCCTCATTTCATAGCTATCTAGTTAATAAAACGTCTTCACCCAATTCAAAAACACCAAAAAAGCCCAGTCAATAACAATAGATAAAAGGAGGCCTTTATAAATAAATTTTAAACATGAATGTAAATTTATATCTAATGCTATATTGACTTTTTTTGACACAAATAATTAAAAATTAAAAGAATTACTAAGAGAAATTATTTAATACTTTGTTGAAATTTTCTGGAATTGCAAAATTTCTACCAGTAATTTACCCGATAAAGTAGAAAAATTAAAATCAATTTCATTGTTACTACTATTAAAATAATGTATCAAATCTTACCTCAGTTGCTTTTGAGCATTCCTAAAACACAAAGAAAAATGATTAATATTTTATTTTATATTTATTTATTGATTTAATATTTAAATATTAATTATTTGAATACAAGTACTTACAGATATATAACTTGGAGAACAATTAGTAGAATTTTTTCCTATGGCTTCCATGTAACAGTCCTTCCACTATATTGAGATAAATGTAAATTTAATATTATTTAAGGATTCAAACGATAATTTATATTCAAATTATTAACTTACTTCTCCCAATTTTATAACCATTTCTTTTATATTTTTTGGATTGCAAATTTTTGTTATGAATTTTTCATTTTTGCCTAAGGGTATGTGTTTTTCTTGACACTTTCTCATTGCTTCAACATCCTGAAAAGAAAATAATAATACATTTTTTAGAAATGTTAATTTCTCGATAATTATATTTAAATTTTTTATATAAAAGTTTAAAAATTTACTTTTCTTGGAGCTTTCTTCATCAAGCAACAGAATCTTTCAGGTCTTTCCCTTTTATCTCTTTTCTCTATAATTTTGGAAATATTTTTGTTTTATAATTTACATTTAAAATGAAGATAATTTATTTTTAAAAAAGTCTTACTTAAATCACAGAAATATGCCAAAATTGGAGTGCCTTTTTGCGGATCTTTTTTCTAAAATAATATGTTTTACTTTGTATTTTTATACAGAAAATTCATAATTGATAAGATTTTCACTTACCTCAACATTGACTTCATCATAGCATTTCTAATGTATACCAAATTAAAATAATAAATAAATAAAATAATAATATAAATTATTTTAATAAAAAATAAATATACCTTTGGTATTTTTCCACAAAAATCTTTATTTTTCTGAAATATTTAACGTGTTAATTTTGAAATTTTAAAAACTTTTAAATTAGTGGAAGAATTATTACCTTTATTTCTTTGATACAGTTAATAAACTGAAATAAAAAAATTATATAAGTGACTGTTATAAATATTAAAATTTAATTTTAAAGACAAATTAAGCAACCTTTTCTCTTAATTCGTCATCATTGCAAGCTTTTCCTCCAAATTCTAAATAGGTAGATCCATTAGAAAATTTCTCTTTACATTCATCTAATGCTTCAGTAAACTACCAAAAAATGTAATTACTTTAATTTTTAAAGATTTTTCTTTAATTTTACAACATTAAAAATGTTGTAAAATTAAAGAAAAATGTATTTTCCTTACCACAATGTGAGCATGTTCCTTGATACAAGTAACAAAATCTGGGAATTTTCTACCTNATGACATACGCATGCGTCAGGAACTTCTGTTCGAACAAACCTCTCCTGCCGTCCGGGTCAGCGATTTTAAAAAGGTGGCAACACTAGCACGGAAATTTTCAACAAAATCTGGGAATTTTCTACCTGAAAAATTATATTAATTCATAAATATAATGAAAAATAAAATTAAAATAGTCAAATATAAGAGGACTCACTACACAGTATCTGTTTAGATTTTGGTATATTTGCAGCAGTAAACGTAGAGAGAAGAATTATCAACCAAAGCCTCATGTTTAGATTGGAGCTTATAATGAAGTGGGAAGGTTGAGCAGTTACATAAATAAGAATTTCCTGTTTAAATTGTATTTTATTTCCGTTTTCAACAATGACACTTGGGAAAAAGAGGATAAAACGTTGCAGTATTTGCTCACCTGAAAAAAAATTTTATACGAATTTAGCTAAACAATCACAATGTTTTACAGAGCGTGAATGCCTCTAATTTATGGTTATTCGGAATTTTTAAGTGATGTAAATCATAAGTACTATATTTATGATAATTATAAACAAACTGGAGTGTTTTTACTTCAGTTAAGGTTGTTTATAATGAGGAGATTTCCTTCATAAATATAAGATAAAGTATGACTTGTCTGTATGTTCTGTATAATTTTATTATATTTTTTTAAAAAAAACTACATTTTAATTAGTATAAAATCTTAAAAAATATATTTTTCTCAGTAATGAGCGAATAAAATGAAAGAAAAAATGATTTGTTTAAAGCATTTTTAGCGATATTCTAGCAATCTTTGTACAAATCTTTTTGATAAAATATATTATTTCTTTTTTAAATTTTAACTCTTGGATGTATTTGATGTTTTATTAATCAAAATATGAAAAGGGATGGCGAATAATTCAACAATTTTTCTTAAATGTCGTCAGTATAAAGCGTGTTATCCTTAGATCCGCACGCATTTTCTGTTTTCTTATTTCTAATAAAAAATTAAACTATACACGAAATTCTTAATTAATACAGGATGCTTTCTAACGTGTATAACGCAGCGAAATTTAATGCTAAATATAAATTATCGATAAAAAAAAGTCTGGCAGTCTTGTGTAACGTAGCATTAAATTTCCTTGCGTTATATACGGAATGCATTTGTATTATGAGCCATTATCATGTTTAATTTCCTGATCATTATGTAACAGAGGAAAAGTAATGACCCCAAGATTTTTGGACTCGGGGGACGTTGAAACGTCGAGAAATGCAAAAATTTGGGGTTTTTTCCCCTGTATGTATGGATGCGTGTTGTGGGAGGAGAGCACAATTTTTCCACCCACTTCGAAGCTTAATAACTGCCGTACCTTTTGTACGAAAATTTCTGAAATTTTGCAGGGAGGTTTGTGCATTAGAGGAAAATGCTTCTAGAAATTTTTAGGAAAATTGGACCATTGGTTCGGGAGATATGGCCCATCTCTTAATGTTTTCCGAACCGATATGAAGACTTAAAGGTAATGGTAACAATTATTAGGGATAAAAATAAATAAAGACGTTAAAGTCAAGCAACAACATTTCCAGCTTTTTCAAAATTAGGTTTTGTAGGTATTGTATGCTATATTAAAACTGATTTTTAACGAATATTTACTTAAATACGTGTGGAGATTACGCACGATTTGACGCGTGAGTTACTTAGTAACAAGTGTAAGATTCTTACATTTAAATGGAGAAATTATGAGAATTTAGCAGAAATTTCGAAACTTAAGAACCAAAACTTACTCAATGTTTGCTTTTTATCCCCAAAAGGCGTCCTATTGCTGTAAGAGAAATGGTAATTAAATCAAGTAATTCCGATAAGCTGGCTTCATCTTTAATACTCTTTCGGCGATGTCTTTGTCTCTTTTGATCGGATCCTGGCATATTTTTGTTTTGGTGGTTCCTTCAAAATCTAGTAAATACTCGTATTTGAAGAGAAGTTTAAAATCTCCGGAAATTTATTTTATTCGAGTGATTCAGATTTTTAGATAAGATTTAATTGCAAGCGAGGGATTATTTTAACTCCATGGTGTTCATTAACGAGCTTTGGCATTTCGAAATACTTCTTAAACACGCTTTCATTAAGTTTTCCAGTCGAAAATAAAGACTTTATTGAAAGATTCGGCGATTATAAACGAAGAAAGGTATAAAGTCGATATAAATATTTTTATATATAAAATCTTTACTGTTATTTAGCGTTATATTCGAGTTAAAAATTAATATAAAGTATTTTTATAATTATAAAAAAAATTGTGAAAGTTGATAATTACGTAATAATTAAAAAAAGTTGTTTTCTTTGTAAATATATAATGATGCGATTTTATTTTAACGTCATGTATTAGCGGGTGGTCTGTAAATGAAGGAGGAATGTTGTTATTCGTATAAACTATTTTTAAAAACTTAAAGAAATATAAAATAATTAATTCTAATAAAATTAGAATATATCTTCAGAAATATTTTCTCTTATTTAATAATAACTCTTGGATTCGGAATACTTTGAAATGTAAAAAAAAATTCGGGGGTAATTTCTGTATGTATGGGCGTTTGTGTGCGGGATCACGATTTTGTTCACCTTGTTTGAAGCTTAATAATTCCTGTGCTATTCAAAATTTCTGAAATTTTGCAGGGAGATTTGTTTGTTAGGAGGATCGATGCTGTTAAATTTTGGTGATTAAAGATCGAGGAGCTGGGGAGATAAAGCGGTTCGTGTGTACCAGTAGCGTAGCGTAGGGGGCGGCAAAATTTGACAATAAATAATAATAATATCTTGTAAGAATTTGAACCATTTTATTTCATATATTCGTCCTATGATTCGGACCGATTGAAATGAACACGGAATAGTGTTACCATCCGACTCGCCGTCCGAGGATATCGTGCGCAACCTGTCGACCTTTTTTTTTTTGCTCGTACGATTCGTTCGTAATCATATACACCTGTAACACCTCCAATATCCAATAGAGCTAGGTCGCTTGCGTTACTCCTATCCAAGTTTCCCTAGTCGCTGACTGTAACTGATTTAGAATCGGCATGCACTGCAAATTCTTCTTCGCATTGCAAGATGACATACGCATGCGTCAGGAACTTCTGTTCGAACAAACCTCTCCTGCCGTCCGGGTCAGCGATTTTAAAAAGGTGGCAACACTAGCACGGAAATTTTCATTACTTATTCTGTGACGAAACTGAATTTTAGTCTTTTAAATTGAGATACCTAAATAAGGGGGCGGCGAAATTTTCCTCCGCCCGGGCGGCTGACACCCACGCTACGCTACTGGTGTGTACTCCAGTGTGGTCGGACTTAATGACGGTTTTACTCGTTATTAGCATTTACAATTTTTTTTTATAAAACTCATTCCTATCCTCAAAATTAAGCTTTTTGCCATTTTATAACTGTTAAAAATATAAAATGGGCTTTTAATAAAATATAATAAGAGATGGCACCATCAAATGTTGCAGGGAAAGTTAAACAACTCGTTGCTGGTTTATTTTTAATGGAGACAAATTCTGTACGCTTCTCTAGAAAGGGATCTCGAAGTACAGCTTGAGAAATTATTAATTTATTCAGGGCTTACAATATATATATACTACAGTATATATAAATTAATAATAGACCTAAAGAACCTAATAGACCTAAATCAACCTAAAGAATAATTTATTTCAAATAACAAAACCATATAAATAATGTTAATTGATCTGTATTTAAATATTATAAAATGAATAATCATTAAGTATTCTTTATATATTTATTTTAAACTATTGGTTAAGATAGGGCAAATGCTCTCTACACCCTTCCCTGAATACGTAAACATTTGCCATTTATCGTATATATCAATACTGTATGTACAAGAGGTGCTTATGTTGGTGGTGTTCATTTGTATATTATTAATAATCTCGCGTTAGATTAGAGAGGAACAAACAAAGCCATTTAGTCCAGAAATTCAGGTGTTTTTCATTAAGTTTATTTATATATTTTTATGATTTTTGGATGGGGGTGGAAATCAACGTTACACCACAAAATAAAAATAACAATCAAATTTCTTGGAATAGAACAAATATTGATTCTCTGTAGATGGCTGCTAAAATATAGCTTGTTTGTTTAGAATTAACCAGAAAGAAAGGCTTTGGAACGGTGATTATATAGGTCTAGAATGTCCTGTATATACAGGTTTATGAACTTAAAATAGAAATAAGTTATATAGTTTTTCAAGTGATGTATATGAAAAAATTATATGCTGATTAATGATAATCCATACATTTAAAACAAAACAAAAAATACTGTACTTTAATATTAAATGTAATTCTTTAATTTCATGTAAAAATCATCTTGTCACCTCGATTATTGCAAATAGTGCATTGCGTTACAAACGAGTAGTGACACTGACTCATTTTTAGACAGCGGACATCAAGGCCCTTAAAAGTGGCGTTTTAGGCGCTTAAAATAAGCTCTTAAATTGCGTCGTTTAGGCTTTATAAACAAAAATAGGCGGTCAAAATTTTCACAATGAAGAATTAACGTACTTATCAGGACGATGAATTTTTTATTTAACATATGTATTCCAAACAAAAATGCACGTATTCAGAATGATGCAAACACAAAGGTAAACAAGCAATTATCTTTACATTTTTTATTCGCTCTGTTTCCCATAGTTAGCTTCATAATATATTACAAGCATTTTTTCCAAATTTTCAATAAAAAAGTTGCAACGTTTGTCACTGAGAATTAATTTATACGCAGAGAAAAAGCGTTCCACATCTACTGAAGATAACGGACAATATTTCAACCTTGGAAGAAGATGAACTGGGAATTCACTTTCAGTTTTGCTTTTCTTTCCTGCCAAAATATCAGCCACAATAAACAAGCACTTTAATCAGAGTCTCTTTCGAAGCACTGCTTTCAACTCTTTCTTCACTTGCCATGTCCTGTCTGTTCTTCGTTAATCTCAAGAATGGAGTAAGAAGAAAGTCGAGAACAGATGTGGAAAGCGTAGGGACCGTAACTTCGATTAACTATATACGAACTTCCGGTCACGTGAGTTTTTTAAATTAAAAATTGCAACCTGGCATTGTGCCAATGTCTCAATAAGTAATTGCTCGTCTTCTATTGGTTTAATTACACTAAATAGTAGTTAATTGAATATGATTAAACATCATTAGTCACACTAAATAAGAACAATGATTAATTCGATTGTGATAATTATTATTAATATTTATTATATATTTAATCACGTCTTTATATAAAAATTTCATACCTCTTAATTTTACATGCGTATGGGGTACTCAAATTTTTCATTTTCAATCAATAAATTTCAAATAAAAATGCAAATCTCAAACTCTTTTCGGGAAGCTTTCGACATTTTATGATCATAAATGCGGCCTGATTCACAGTAACTTACAATGGACACGATTAGAATTGCAAGGGCTGTGTCTTAGCGGAAAAGCAGCTAAACAAGCAAGTAAATTAGTACAAAGACCGTTTTATAAGAAATGTATTGTCATTGATTCGCTTACTTAGCTGCTCGTCATCTAGACGCACCCAAAATACAATACTCAATGCTAATGAAAATTCATGAAGATCCAAATTTCTGAAGATGGATGATAACTTCTATCTCTTGACTATTTTCGAGTGTTTGTTGAATCTGTGGTATTGTTGCGTGGAAATACGTCTTTCAAAATTAGCATTTGTCCACTAGTGGAGAAGTGGATAAATCACCGATAGTTGGTGCCCAGTTTTATTCTGACCGATAGGCTAGTCACGTGGCGTTTTCCGGGTTTTTTCGCACACCCAAATATAGGGCATCTTCCCATAATATGGATTATTATTGTGACTTTCAACGAATAGTTTGGAGAAAGCGTTCAGAAATGCCAATACAAACTTTTCGTCTTAAAACAGTCACTTATGGAACAACATCAGCTCCATATTTGGCAACGTGAACTTTGAAGCAGTTAGCGATTGATGAGAGTGTAGAGTTTCCGAGAGCCATGAAAATAGTATTGCGAGATTTCTATGTGGATGACATGTTGACTGGTGTAAACATCTCTGAAATGGGTAATGAACTGATTAATGAATTAATTCAATAATTAGGAAGAGGTGGATTTGAGCTCCACAAATGGTTCACAAGTGAACCATCTATATTAAAAGGATGTGCATGGCGGTTCGTTAGGTGACATGTCTCATACAACTAGTGGAACTAAAGTGATAAAGATTTTAGGTCTAGAGTGGCATCCCAGAGAGAAGATATTTTCAGATGTAACTTCGAGTTCAAACATCATCAGTGAAATTCAACTAAGCGAACAATTTTTTCATCTATTGTGAGGTTATTTGACCCATTGGGATGAATTTCCCCCTTTGTCATATCTGTGATTTTAGTATTATAGGATAAATTTAAAGTATCATTGGTGAAATTAGTCTCTGAAGTTATAAATTTAAGAAATCATGATTAAAGTTAGAGATTTATTTTACATAGAATAATAATGATGATTCATTGCATAAGTCTTCGTAAAACATATTTAAACGAAGTGTATCTAAAATTCGTGTTTTACCTTTGGAGAACTGAAGTTGTGTTTTGTAAAATAAAAAATGTTCTTTTTTTGTGTGTGTTAACTTATTGAACCCTAGAAGGTTCAAGGCGGGGGGATATTAAGTTCGATAAACAATTAAACAAAATTGTAACACGTGTCAGGTGTGTATATGTTATCGAGCGTTGATGTACAGTCCACAGAACTGTCACACGTGTCAGGTGGGTTGATGTAATCGTATACCCCTAAGAATGCGGGGTGAGATTGTCCCGCCTAGAGAAGGAGAAATTGTGCGCTTTCCTTTGGTGTGTCCAGTCAGGTCTGACCGGGGTGCTGACCAGTGTGCTTACCATAGTTGTGTGGCTGGTCAAGAACCAGTGTTGTGACTATAAATTAATTGTCAGGTGCCTGAGTGTTGCTTGCTTGTGGAGCGCCAGAGTGTTACTCGCTTGTTTGAGAAATTAAAGTTCAAATTGTGTTGTTATGTTATAAAGGAACTGTGTACTGTTTAGACCGTGTAAACGAGAACAATTAACATCACATTTTTTATTCCAACATTTCCAACACATCAACATTTTCTGGTCCGTCGAGGCGGATTCCAATTTTCCGCATGCAAAACAGATTGTATCTCTGATACTCTGTTGGCGACGAATACTTGCAACCTAGAAGGGTCAGCCTTTAACCAAGAGAGCACTATGGTTGAATCACTCCATGCAAATATGGAATTAATCTTAATCTGAAATGCACCTTGTATTGCTTGCAGCAAATGAACTAATAACACTACTGCACATAATTCCATCCTTAAAATTGAAATAGATTTTAACGGTGCTTCACGAGTCTTCGATGTTAGTAGTCTAACCCAAACATTGAATTCATCTGATGATCGCATGTAAACAACTGCTCCGTAGCCCTTCTGTGATGCATCAAAAAATGCATGTAAATCAACAGTCATATAATTAGGTAACAGCGTTTTTCTAGAAATTTGAATGGACCACAACTGTCCTAATTCTTTGCAAATAATCCTCCAATTATGATCAATACACGGAAACATAGGTTCATCCCAAAATAGTTTAAGCCTCCAGATTTCTTGCAGTAACATCTTAAGTGCATCTTGCGGTAACATCTTATGTGCATCTTGCAGTAACATGCAGATAATTCCTGTGCCCAGTTGATTGGGAACTGAAACATGTCCACGAATGCATTCAAGTCGGCCAGACGCGACGTATGCAGATGCACGCGCTGGCACTATTACTCCCCATGCTCTTGTCGAACAGATCATCATACAGGCTTATGTTAGCACTCTCGGGTGAGGCCAGCTCGTCTGTTGATGGGGAGCAAGGGACATTGACTGGTGGAGTAAGTTGACTAACCTTGTGCTTACTCAAATTGTGTTTGCTGGTTTCTCGGATTTGGGCAGTTTGACGCTCGTCTTCCAATAGATTATAATAATAATAATATAATAAATAAAAAAAAATTACATTTATAATTAGTCAAAATTCAATTAGTAATAGTAAAAGCATTTATCGGTCTTTTGTTTTGGTTTGTAACTTTTTTGCATTAAATGGTGTCCATATATGGTGTTCTAGAATTGGAACTGACTTTGAACGATCCGAAGACTTGCTCCTCGCTTATTGATTGTCTTCTGTCACTTATCTTCGGCCTGACTTCTCCTCCTAAATTAATAAACAAAACTAATTATAATGAATTATTAAAATATTTCAAATATTCTCATTTATTTATAATTATTGACTTTCCACTCATCTGTTTCTAAACTCCATACAAGTAAATATTTTTATTAAATATCAAATCATTCCTTTAAGACAGCGTTTCTCAACCTGGGGGTCGCGGTAATATTAATTAAAGGGAGGTCGCGAAACAATAATGAAATTATTTATTATAAACTTATAAACAGTTTGCTTACATGTAACACATAAGTACACATGTAATGAAAAGAAATTAATGTGATGATTGCATTTGTTTTTCATTTAAAATTTATAACATTTATTAAAAAATAAATAAATATTTNACTTTTAATTATAATAAAATTTTATTAAAATATCAGTAGTTTTGTACACTTCTACATCTCATTTTTATAAGAACACGTTAATATAATTAAATATTAACCAATGAAAAGTATGATTCTATAATCGTCTACGAGAGCGGTATAAACGAATCGGTTAGCTGTCCTGTCTACGCGAACTCGGTCAAGAAAAAATGCTCATCCTCGACGTCTTCCAGTCAGAAAGCTACAAAAAATAGAAAAAAATAGCAGACGAGAATGATAACTCGTTAACGTGCGAACAATGTGGCAAGAATTTCGTTAGCAAGAGGAATTTACTGTCTCATAAAAAGACTCACAGCAATGAAAGATCTCACAAATGTGTGGATTGTGGTCAGACGTTCTCGCTACATAACACACTCATATGTCACAGGCGTGTCAATACTAAAGAGAAACCGTACACTTGTAGTTTGTGTTTTAAGAGCTTCACACAGGCTTCTACGCTTAAGGCTCACGTCATCTACAAGCATATAAAGTTATTTCCATATTCTTATGATAAATGTAGAAGAGATTTCATTTCACCTGGGCAGAAAGCCGATCATTATAGTCGTAAATTGCGCCAAAAAAATGAAATGACCTATGATTCTAATTAATGACATAAATAATATACATAAATAATACATAAATAATTATTTATGTATTATTTATACATAAATAATTATTTTGTTTTGCAGTAAAATACTGTAGTTTTTTTCTCATTAATTTTTGTATAATTTATTAACGTATAAATTATTTTAATGCAAGAACTTCTCTTGTATAAATTTAATTAAATTATTAATAATATATGAAACATTTGAGTTATAACATCCACTTATATTAAATGTTGGGTTTAGCAAATATAAGAAAATATCTTTGTAAATAATTCTGTTTATAGAATATGAAATACTTCATATCTAAGTTATGATAAAAAGGTTATTAAAAATTTAATCTGAACTTTCATTAATTTTTCTCAACTTCTTTAGCAATGTATTCACATACTCTTGTGAGTTACATGTTTATTTATTTATTTATTTATTTATTTATTTTTCNTTGATAGACAAATTATAAAATCCAATATAACCAAATGAATTGATTGAAAATTATTAATAAATTAAATTTTTTCACATATTAGGGGCCTTCCATAAATTACGTAAAGTATTTAGGGGTGGGTGGGGTCAAGGATTTCTTACGATTTTTTACTCAGCGGTAGGGGGTAATAGATCTGGTCTTAAGTAATATTTTTATTTTTTTATCTCGTTAAGTGATGGAATCAGGCTTCAATTTTGCAGATATCAACTACGTGGTATTTCCTTTTTTTCTGAAGAGACTGATCAAATTCTATTACAAATTAATAAATATAGCCTAAACACACATCATCGACTAATCCGTTATACATTAAAAGATTTTTTTAAATTTTGTTTTATTTTATATCTGTTTTAAACAACCAAATTTTAGATACTTTTTCTGATTAATTTATATAACACAAAATAACTAAGTAAAAACTGCCAATAACTTGGCGATGGGGGAAAATAGCTTACCGCTGAGTATCAGAATTCAAGTAGAATACAAATCTTCAACATTCATTATGGAAATGTGAGATCCCACCCATGTACAAACCAATTTTCCACTTTCCTCCTAACTTTTTGACATATTTTAAACAAATTTATTACCTTACTGTGAAAAATCCATCGTCAGAAAAAGGAATCGAATATCTTCATCAACAACAATAGAAACTTACAACTCTCCCCTTTAATGAAAACATTTACACATCTAAACAATGGCATTCTCACTCTGCAAGACTTAAAGTTTACGATTAAAGTCCGAATTCGTCATTTTGTTGTGGTCCTGGGAACAACTTTAACCTCCGTACCTGCTCCAATGACATTTATCTCCCACAACAGTTAATCACATGACGAATTTTCCCAGCACGAAGCTATAAAAGCCACTTCTTCCCCCACCTCGGGGGAGTCTCTCATCTACGGCTGGTCGGAAGGGATTGAGTCTCGAAAGATTTCTATAACTTTGTGCGTCGATCTACAAGAAAAGGAGACTAATATTTTCTTCTACGTGGAATTATCCTAGAGGTATGAAACAAGTAATGTGAACTCTCTCTCCGTGTATTAGGAGCTAGTGTACCAAGTTAAAGGTTCTAGATGTTAGAGTTTTTAATCGTTAATTTTTGTTTAATGTAATAAACCGTTGTTTCCATTGTTAAATGGTGTCATTTACTCGCATATCGCCTAGGCCTTATCGACGACCCCTCTTACCTCCTCCACTCGACCTGATAAAAAGAATCTCGACCCCTCGGGATCGAAATTCGTAAACAAGCAATCCCTTGACAAGTGGACAGTTTCCACCAAATTGCTGCCGACAAAAAGAGGTACGACCTCGTCATACCTCCGACGCCCCACAAAATTGGTTTTTCAGAAGTGGAGTCTCGACTTCCTCGAACTCTCGATAAGGCGAAAAAGGCTGTATTCGAGTAAACGGTTGATTCGAGTCGAATTAGGGACTTTAGAAATAGGAGAATAGTTAGAATTAGTATAGGAGGTAAATTGTAATATCAGTAAAAATAATGGAGGACGATCCCCGTCATACGGCTGTGCCAGACAACCCAACCCAAAATCCTACTCCGAACCCTCTTACATTAGGAGGTCTGGGCGGAATAATTCCTTTATTGCCAGTATTCTCTGGAGAGACGGGAGGTCTCAGAGTAACGGACTTTTTTGACTCGTTAGCGGATGTCGCGAAGGTAGCGGCCTGGTCGAAGGCGCAAATGCTAGCGGTGGCGAAGCTCAAACTCACTGGGATAGCTCGAGAGTTTGTTAGAAATGACCGTCGGATTAAGGAGATAGAAGAGTTTGATGAATTCAAACGGTTGATGATACAACGGTTTGATCGCGAGCCGTATTCCTTCCGATTAAATAAATTCTATGCATGCGTACAGAGAAAGGAGGAGGATGTTCAAACGTATGCCGCCCGGCTTCAAATCCTGGCTATAGAAATAGAGATTTTGCCAAAGCCCGATGCGGATGCCGCAGAAACTGCTATTATTAAAAGAATACAAGGGAAAGAGCTTGACGAGAGGCTAAAAGCGCAATTTTTAAACGTAGATATGTGGATCAGTCAACGCGTCATGTCGCAAAAGCCGGCGACATTCGACGATGCTCTGAAGACTGTGATTAGTGAAGAGACGATCGAGAGTTTCACAAAACATCCCCGGGGGATCAGGCGAACAGTTAGGGAAACTGAACAGTCAACAGATTTCTCCGCAAGAGATAATTTAGAGCAATTAACAACCGCGATGAAGGAACTCAAAGCTAAAATGGACGATTTAACCAGAGACTCCTCCCTCAGAAATTCTAGGAACCTTCTATTGAGACGAAATAATCGTGGAACCTATAATAATCCACCTTTCCGACGAAACGAAAATCGTCCGACCACATCCAATCGCAGATTCGACCGACCGAGCGTCCAAGCAAATCAGAATAGGAATCGAAATTTGCCCGACCGGCGAGGTAATAATTTTAACGATCGCTCAATGCGTCAAAGACCTGATTCCCCAAGGGGACGCGAAATAGGAGATGACCAAAATAGAGTCCGATTCCGATCCCAGCCTATACAAGAGAATCGAAACAAATGGAGAGGAAAGGTACAAAGCGATATAATTTCCGAAGAAACATACGTTCCTATATCCTACATTTGAGCAGAAGCGAGGCTTTGATAGAAATCAAAATCGGCCGACATATAAGGCTTCTCAGACACGGAATCGAAAAAAAATTTCTGTAAACACTACTAAAGCCCTTACTAGATATACCACGCCGCAAAATGAAGCTATATTCAATTGTTATATAGGAGGAAATCCAGCTATAGTACAAATAGATACTGGAGCTAAGGTGTCACTTTTATCAAAGGCCTTTGCCAACGCTATGAAAGAGAAAGTACACGTTGATAGTAATAAAGAAACAGATCTAAGAAGTGCTACGGGTCATCTTATCCAAACGTACGGCATCATCAGTCCTACCTTCCAGATCGGAGACATGCGATTCCCGTTTGCATGTTGTCTAGTGGACATAGACGTCACTTATCCGTGTGACGGCATTATCGCCAAGGATATGATAACAAAAAAAAGGATTTCTTATCCATTTAAAGAGTGGAGAATTGACTATTCCCCCGAGAACTATAATACTTTTTTTAAACTCAGCGAATTCTATGAGAAGAGTCGGGAGAGAAGAAAACAGCGTAAGTCCGAATACAAAACTAGGAAAAGAGGTTAGCTGAAAAAGAGATAGAATGGAGACAAATCAATCAGTCGAGATTTCAAGGTCAAGAAAGAGACCACATTTACAAGCGGAACAAGGAATAAAACCTGATATCGACAAAATAAAATGCGTGTAGATTTTGCGTGGCCTGAAAGTGAGCGGGAAATACGATCCTTTTTTAGGACTAACTGGCTACTATCGGAGACACATAGACGCTTATGCACAAATTGCTAAGCCG